AGTGCAACAGACTGTTGGTTGACACTGGAAGTCACAGCATTCTGGAAATGACCTCCGACTTTATGCCCCCAACTGTAAACTACGAATTGCCTTATAAAGTACTGTTCCCGGGTAGAAAGGACTTGATTCTCCTGGAGAAGGAAATTATTAAGAGCAGATAGTTGTCGGTTCACATAACCTTCCGGTTCTGGTGCAGGTGTTTTCAGTCGCAGACCCAGGACAGAGGTATCAGCCTGTCTAGGAACCTATGCGACAGTATTTCAAGCGGAAATTCACGCTATTGAATTGTGGAGAGATCGGAAGAATCCAACCTCATACACACGTCAATAAAAATATTCTCGGACATTCAAGCGGCGTTGGAAGCTCCGAGCAACGCCTAAATTGGTAGCAAATTGTCAAAAACGACTCTCCTCGATAGGAAGACTTAACAGATTGTCTCTGGTCTGGATTCCTAGCCATACTGGCCTGGAAGGCAATGAGGCTGCTGACTCCCTTACATGTCATTCAAAGACATGTTGCATCATTCCAATATGTGGAGATCTAACACCGGCATTAGTCAACTACTTGTTTGGAGGCGTGAACATGACGTGCAATTGATTGGAACATCAAAGAGAGGTTGAAGATTTGTCTCTCTTCTATAGATACTTTCACGAGAGGTGTTCAAGTGACTTGGAACATTTGATTCCACCAAGGGCGGTACATATCAGAAATACGCGACGGACTGTGGCTGCTCATCGTTTTGAGGTTCAACTCAGTACACCTCGAACTTCACTGTTTCAAATGATAACCATAATTCTATTATAAAACGTAAAATGTCATGATTGGAAATAATATAGCTTGAAATACCTGAACTGGACGAAATACTCATAAATAAGTTCCTTGGAACTTTTTTGAGTGTTCTCCTGTTCACTTTGCCATCTAGTAGCCTTGACCTTGAAGTATTTTTTATGTCTGAAAATTCAAGAACATGAACATTGTTTTCCTACGAGTGAGTCGGTCGGGCCCTGTCGCTGAAGCTCAGACTCAGTCGGGGACGCGTGCCAGCATTATCAACCAATGACCATTCCCCACACCGTGAGGCAAGTGATCATTGAGTTCAGGAATTACATGCCCTAAACAGACACAGTGAGCCAAGAATGAGTCTTCTGCATTGGTCCGGCTGAGATTTCTGCCATCGTGCGACAAGTCGGCAAGATCTTGAGGTAGAGAGGGCATCATTCTACCATTCCACGACCATCTTAACACAGTGATTAGGATAGTCTGCGGAGTTCGAAGAGAAAATCTCGATAACAATAAGGTAATATTATAGAAAATTAGATTCCTATCTGCTTCCTATATAGAGATATGGAACACCGCGCCACTGTTGCAGGACCCTGTATATCTGAATTATGATGATATGGTACTTCCTTTTGATATGGAACAACTTGTAAATATTCATATATTATCTTACATAGAATTGTCTGGTTTAGTTTAATTTGTTAAATGGTAATATGTAAAGAAATGTAAATTATTTTGTGGTATTCAATAAAGTTATGGGTCTTCGACCCCCGTTGATTTGGACGAGCACGGGCCTTTTGGCAGTGGTGACGCTTGGATAGAGGGAAAATGCCTAGTTGAAAGGCTTTCGAGCCAGGACAGCTTAGGGCAATGTCATTATTCATGTCCCTAAGGACATATCGAAGGATATGTCGTGAAACTTGGGGTTTTGGTACCAAACAAATCCGTTGGATTTATGTGATGATAGACAGACTAATGATCACTTATGGTGCAATTGCCTGGTGATCGAAGGCTTTACAGAAAACGCTTCAGGCGAAGCTATCTGGCTTACAGGGACAGGCTTGTCTGGCCATCAGTACCACACCGTCTGAAAATTCAAGAAAATGAACATTGTTTTCCTACGGGTGAGTCGGTCGGGCCCTGTCGCTGAAGCTCAGACTCAGTCAGGGACGCGTGCCAGCATTATCAACCAATGACCATTCCCCACACCGTGAGGCAAGTGATCATTGAGTTCGGGAATCACATGCCCTAAACAGACACAGTGAGCCAAGAATGAGTCTTCTGTATTGGTCCGGCTGAGATTTCTGCCATCGTGCGACAAGTCGGCAAGATCTTGAGGTAGAGAGGGCATCATTCTACCATTCCACGACCATCTTAACAAAGTGATTAGGATAGTCTGCGGAGTTCGAAGAGAAAATTTCGATATTTGATCCATTTTTCCTTCTCTTTTCGGACGATATTCGTCTCACCAAATATTTGAATCCTAAATATCTTTAAAAAGGCTTGCTTTACGATATCTTCAATATTAAAAAATTTGAATTGACTCTTATGTCAAGTTGTCATTATTGTTGTCAACTCGCGTGCGTTGGCAAAATTGAAATATAAAACAAGACCAACCATAGTGAAATTAACATCCTACAACCGTAAATTGGCCATACTGAAAAACGTAAAAAAAAAACTCTAGTAACAGGAAACAGGACCCAATATGATATAATTGACGAAAAGGGAGACAAAATTGTAGATGACCTGAACAAAGCTGATTATTTCAATAAATGTTTCACTAATATTGGCCTGAACATGGCAAGTAAAATTGATAAAACAACTACTCCCATCCCCGAACAAAAAATAAATATTCAAGAGTCTCTGTTTCTCCTTTCAGTAACACGCAAAGTACTAATAAATATTATTTCTAGTTTTAAAAACAAAACTTCTGCTGGCCCTGATAAAGTACCTGTTTATTTAATAAAAAAATATCACCAATACTTTCTCGATCCCCTATGTCATATATTCAACCAATGTTCTGTGATTGACATGATTCCAAATGATTTCAAAGAAGCCATCACAACGCCTATTTTCAAATCCGGAAACTTGTAACAAACATAGACCTATATCGGTAATTGATAACTTTGCGAAACTTTTTGAAAAATGCATAAAAAATAGACTTGTAAATTTTCTGGAAAAACATCAGATTCTATCACCTTGCGAATATGGATTCAGAGAAAATATATCAACCGAAAACGATGTTTTTCACTGGTGAATAAATTACTGAATGAAGCTAACGAAGAGAAAAAATATCTAGCGGTGTTCTTAGATTTGGCCAAAGCCTTTGGCACTGTTACAGAGGTTAGGAGAAATGTGGAAGTGACGGGTAAGCCTTTAGAACCACTAGCTGATTATTTACGAGAACCAAACCCAAAGGGTCAAAATTGTTAATTTTCTGGAAAAACATCATATTCTATCACCTTGCCAATATGGATTCAGAGAAAATATATCAACCGAAAACGCCGTTTTTCACTTAGTAAATAAAATACTGAATAAAGCTAACGGAGAGAAAAAATGTCTAGCGGTGTTCTTAGAATTGGCCAAAGCCTTCGAAACTGTCAATCATGATATTTTGTTACAGAGGTTAGGAAATGTAGGAGTGAGAGGTAAGTCTCTAGAACTATTTGCAGATTATTAACAAGTCCGAATCCAAAGGGGCAAAATAAACGACACTTATAGCCAGACACAACCAGTCGCCATGGGTGTTCCCCAGGACACTGTCATGGGTCCAATAATATTCCTAATCTATATTAACAACATTTACAACCTGAAGGACTTTGATGGTGATATTGTTTCATTTGCCGATGATACGGCATTGATTTTCTATGGTAACACATGGGACTCTACTTATGCAAAAGCACAAAATGGACTGAACATTATATTCTCATGACTGAATTTTAATCTCCTGAGACGACTTTTTTATCAACAATAAGAGACCAACCACTAGAGGGAAACATTTTCATGCATACCCCCAATAGCCAACCTCCTATAATTTGTTCTAGTCCAAGTATAAAGAAAACGGATACAATAAAATATCTGGGTGTGATGCTTGACCAACATGTACGCTGGGACAAACATGTTAGTTTTTCTCTACCAACTCAGACACATACTAAATAAACATTTATTACTGATGACATACGATGCATTAGCTGAATCAGTTATAAGTACTGTATTATTGTTTAGGGTGGGTTGAATAAAACATACTTACATAATCTTCAAGTGATACAAAACACATTGCTTAAAATAGTATTGAAGAAAGATAAAAGACCTCCAACTGATAACTTATATAAGGAGGCTAGTTTATTCAATATCAGAAAATTATACACCTATCACAGTGTACTATGGACGTTGAACTCGCCTCTCACATATCTGACATACATACACGATACCAGGGCTATATCCGAGAGAAAAACTAGTGTTCCTTTTTGTAAAAATGTATATACCCAAAGATTTGTTACTTACTTTGGACAGAACCTTGTCAATCAAGTTCCCATTGAACTAAGAAATGTAAAATATATCGATGAACGCAAGAAAACAATTAGATCCTTCGTTAATCACAACTTTGACTTCTTAAAAGAAATATTTGAATCAACTCACTGAATCATATCTGAAAATATTTTTTATCTCCTTTAGACCTGCCTCCTCTTTGCCTGATTGTCTGGTTCAATCCTTCTTCAGGTTGATCATTGCTTTCTATTAATTTTTTTTTTCTTAAAATTTTATTTCTTACTGAAAGGAATGAGTTTTTTTTTTAATTCATGGTTCTGTTCTGATCTGAGAAAATACGCAACACAAGATTTGCATAGGCGTTTCCCAAGAACTGAACACCACCACTTATTTATTGTTATTTATTTTTTTTACTGTAATTATTATTAAATAGGTACATGCTAACATACATTATAGAAAAGAATATGTATCTGAATTGAATAAATTGATTGATTGATTGATTCTCTATGTCTATAGATATCCTAGGTGGGGTATTTTTCTGACAAGACACTGCATTCTTTTCTTTTCATTAGCAATAAACAGTAGTGCCATTGCTATAAAATTCTGAAATGAACTTGCGTATTTGCTTGACAAAGTAGAAACATTCGAAGCAGTAATTTTTGACGTTGGTAATCTCTCATGTCAGGGACAAATAATACATTTATAGGCAGAAATTGAAAATAATAAAACTGAAGGAAAAACAACATTATATTATCTTCATCAAGATTTGAAAAAAAAAAAAAATTTGAGAAATACAACGTATTTACTTCTTATAAATAAACTTAAGGCACCTTCGGTGGGGTAGATAAGTAACTGAATAAAATAATATAGTAATACAATAAAAATGATTTTCAAAAAATAATGAACAACTTTATCAATATTAAAAAAAAATAAAAAAATAAAGCATATTTACTTCTTATAAATGAACATAAGGCACCTTCGATGGGGTAGATAAGGAACTGAAAGGAATAATATAGTAATACAATAAAAATGATTTTCAAAAAACAATGAACAACTTTGACCTGCACCATATAATTGAAAACTCGATTCAGAAATTGAAACTAAAAATTTCAAAAAGAAATGTTTCTAGTTACTTGTATTGAAAATGAACATTAAATTCTCTTGTTTTGTCATGCTGACTCATCGGAACTGATTTCTGGGAATTAATTTTGAACAATTACGCTGAATAAGGACAAGTTTACAATATTAGTATTAAGTATAGAGATTCCTTGGGGTTTCTGAAAAAATATTTAATTCGTATGGGATTCACGAAATCAGCTGCGAGGATAATGATAAGAAATATGTTGTTCAAACCAAACGGACTATATTAGCTCGCTATAATGTTTCGCATGTTCGGTTTCATAGACTGGAGAAATCTAGCATCGCTCAACATGCCATAGCGAACGACCATAGAATAAGTGGGAAATGTTTAAAATGTTGAGAAAAGTACATGACAACAGGTTTTGGATGCCTTCCAAAGCTTGGAAATCGAAAAGTGAGGAACGAATTCTATGAATAACGACAAAGGTCCTATTTCGAACAGACCTTTGTTTGGTCTTATACGTCATAATTCTAAATTATAAAAACAGATAAATATTGGAGAAATTCACTGAAATGGAGGAAATACATAAGAAATTAGAGGTATAAAAAAAGGTTGTACAGCATAGTTTCAATAACAGGTAGTAGTTAGGTAATACTAACCGATGTAGCTAGGTAATGCTAACAGGTAGTAGTTAGGCCACTAGCATATAAAAACACTAACATAGTAGTGAAATTTTAGCCACAATGATCCCCTGAGTACACTAACTTGGTTAACAAAACGCGCGCCGAGAAGCCGTAATTTTTGTTCTGCTGTTGGGAACGTGTTTTCAATAGATTCAGTGCATTTAATCACTGTTAAACTCTCTAAATGTTACCTAGCCTTCAATCATTTATCATTTATATACATTGTAATCAATATATGTATTCAAATACTGAATATTGAATTGTATTTCATCAATTGAAAGACAAAGTATTGTAAAATTGAAATCACAATAATTATCCTGATTATTGAGTTTTTATCATGTGATAATTCAGTAAATGACAAGAGTATATTTAGGAAATCGAAAAGCTAATTACTATGACAAAGTTGTATGTGACGCTCATAGTCATACAAATGGACCTCCTTGTGACAAATACTGCAAACACATTTCGATAATTTATAACTACAATAATAGAAATCAGATCGATCACTTAAAAAACAAATAATGTTATTTATACTACAATGGTAACTTTTGTTCATAAAATTATATCTGTAAGTTTTGTAATCCTCTTCCATATCTATAACTGTTTCAAAAGTATGGTCTTCCATATGAAAATCGAAGTGTCTGAGAAGCATTTCTCTGGATGGACATTCAGTAAAACAAATGTGACAAACAAAAATTCGGAAAATATGTAGTTGCATGTGCTGTTTGAAACTGAATTCACAAGGAAAGGATATATTACACAAACGACAGAAAGATTCATGAACGTACATGTGATTTTCAAGTTCTGTTTCTGTTTTATAACCACTACCACATTTACTACAAAATATTTTTGTATCAATAATAGGCATAATGGAATTTTTGCTGGTATCTGAACAAGACTCTGTATCAGAAGTTATTATCCTTAAATCAGTTTTCTGTGAAATATCATGTTTTTTAAAGGATTTTTTTCTACAGTGGCATGTATAAAAGTATCCATTTTTTTCATCCAAAGATTGCAAGTCTTGCATTTTTGAAATATCAATGCAATAATGACTCATTTTGCTTCTGATGACTTTCTTACGTTTCATTTTCTTTTTAAAATTTTTTGAATTTGCAGCACTTTCTTCTGAAGAAGTAGAAGTTAAACATCGTTCTTTATACTTTGCGCTGGGTAAAACTTCAGCATCACAATCACTTGTTGCAATGTTTCCTTCATCATCAATCGAAGGTACAGAGTATTCTTTGCTATATTCATCAAAAGAAAACTCCATATCAATGTTACTTTTAGTGTCTCCAATTATTATTTCATTTTGGCCGCAAAGAATACGTATATTGTCAGTTAAATATAGAGTTTCTGTATGAAGAGAATTTGAACCAAGTTGAATTTTTTTACGAATTTTCTTTGGACTCTTGCTTAAATTGCCTGTGTTTCGATGCTTGGTTATTAGTGGAGTCCCTCGTGATAAACTTACTTTCAAAAGTTGTTTCACTATTTTGAATTTGGAATGATCCTTGAGATAATGAGCAGTCAATGATTTCAAAGTCTGCATTTGTTGGCGACAGATCAAACAACAGACCAGATTCATATTATCTGAAAACTATGTTGAGGCATTATTCAAAAAAGTTTTAAAAGTGCAAGCTCATACCCAATTTTACAAGATCATTAACTTGAATATAAACTGTCAATGGTTGATTTCATTAAAGTATTGGAAAAAAAAATTGGATAACTGAACGACTGGTATATTTGAACTACTACCTTCATAAGCGTAAATCACACAGTGAGCGACTTCTAGTGATAACAACCTTAAGCAAGAATGCTTGACCAAGTCATGTAGAAATCAAGTATAAAAGGTATTGAAATCTTTAGTAGATGGTGATAATAATTGAATATGAAAAAATATCATCGTTTGATTGTAATATTTTGTTTGTTAGATACTTGAAGCAGATTGTAAGTTACAATCAGTGACGTTTCGTAGGTTCAAACATACCTCCATTATGAGATTTCATCTACTTTCTGCTTCTAATTTTATGAGTTTCACTTTTAAGAATACGAAGTTCAGATGAAAAAATAAGAATATTACTAAATTTTTCCTCGCTTTTTGGAAGATTTCTCATTTTACAGATCTTGAATGAGGGGTATCACACAAAGAGAAAATATAAATATGAATTTTTTTGGAATGCATGCAATTTTTCCAATTCTACATTCATTTTTTCATTTTGTTCCTCTAAAATATATTGTCTTCTTCATTACTAATTATGGCGTTAATGCATCTTAAAAGTAAAAGTGTTGAAATTTTTTATTATTTCATAAACCCAAATTAGAACGTCTGAGGAAAACACTTTTCCCAGACCAGTAATAAAGCACTGTCAAATCGTGTTAACCCCATATCCTCACAAATGATTTAGGGCCTTTCATATAGGTACATTAGAGTGAACCATTACCTTCGGGAATGGAGAGGGGTAGTGCTTTACTTCTCATATGGAAAACATTTTTTCATTAGATTGATAAACTCGACTGAATTTTTAACAGCATAGCAGCATACTATATTAAATATTAATGAATGAACAATACGGTGTTCCATTTTGAACAAGAATTGTTATTCCACTTAAAGAGCTCAATACGTTGAAATGTATTTTCAATTATCCTTGAGATTATTAATTATTAAATTTTGACCAAAGGTCAGGATAAACCAATAACTGTCAATTACGTTATTTGAGTTAACACCAACAGATGTCACTTCTAGCTGGATCTTTTCGACCAAACAAACATTCTTCTTCTTACACTTATCGTAGTTGGCCATTGGCGCTTTACGTCTTTTGAATTAGTTCAAATTATCAATTGTTTTCTCAAAATTGACATTGAGCCTACATATTCTGAAGAATGTGGTTTTTTTTTGTTTCATATATTACTATCATATTACTCTTTCCTTATATAATAATAGTTCCACTAATTTATAATTTCACTTTTTCATAATGAATTTAAATGAATTTGTTATGAATCACAAAATTAAACCCCTAATAACTGCAGGTGAGATTACATAGTAGTGACTATGTAAATAATTTCATATGAGGAAATAATTATTTTTAGATCCTCATAAAGGGGCCAAAAAAACTATCAGTAACTCCAGAGAAAAGCCCTCAACAACATTCTCTTCAGATACTAATTGGGGAAAAAGTCATATTAGGTAAGTTGACCAAAATCTTTAAAAAAATTTACTTGGCAAACTATCCTTTATTAGAAAACTGAAATGTAGAATGAATGTACAGGTTTAGAGGCAGGTAAAAGTACTAAATACTGAGATATTGTTAAAATAAACTCATAGAGAGAACCCATTATCCTCTAGATGGAAAGCATTGTAGTAAGTTTTGGAATTCAATACAATAATAGCATCATTTCTGTTAATATAACTTTTTTTTTCTACAGTAGGCCAGGTCTAATTGTAATTAGTTATATACCTACTACTTCAGATGAGTAGATGATACATTGATGCATTTTATTGGTACAAGAAGGTAATTATCATGAAAGGAAATAATTCAGTAACATGATTAACTATGCCTAGAGTTGACAATGAATATGTATTCACAATTTCCTGAGAACCGTATACAAACATGGTTACAAAAAAAATTTTCTACACATCTATTCTAACATAGAATGCAACTTTTCTATACAGATTCAGAGGGGAATTTTCAATGAGAATTGCATTTGATGAAATCAATTAGTCTTTGAAAGTCATTTTGTATAGGTGAGTCTATTCATTTTATTGTTGGAAAAATAAAGAAAGGTAAATGAATAAAGAATAGAGAAAAGTATCATAAAGAGGACTGAAATCTTTACCCCAAAAAGTTACTGTATAATACAAACTTAGCTTTTCGGATCAGCGCTTACTTTCTGAAATGTTAACTATTGCAGAAATCTTGATTTTGTGTGTTATGTTATTGTTAATATATTAAATGTATCGTTTTGTTATCGATAATTGAAACCTGTTTTAGTAGAGTTTACAGTTCGATTTCCTACAAATCACATTAACCATTACAACCACAATTGTTACCATTCTGCCTTGAACAACTGAGACTACTCTGAAGGACTTGCTTCACCAAACATCTGATTAGGCTGTAGTCCAAGCAAAGCTGGTCAGTTTTGGAAGTGGTGTTTTCCCCATTTCTCTTCTGTATCTCACTGTTTCTAATATCTGTTGTGCTCAAGAAAACTTGATGGTTGAATGGTACAACTGTGATACCTCCAAAAACTATAGGTATAAGGTCAAATAAATTACCTTAAGTTTTATATCTCACCAGTCATCAAGGGTGGTGGAAGAGTACTTACATGCTATCAGTATATGCAACAATCCATCTCAAAAGAGGATGATGTGGGGATTATGGAGAGAATGTACAGCATGTAGATGGAAGCATTCTGCACTATCTAGATGCACAAGAGATAATCTTAGTGAAGAACTATCATCATGGCAAGTATCATCAGAACAAACTTTGACAGTGCTGGAATTGTCAGGAAAGAACAAAGTTGCTGCTATGAACATGCTTGTTGTTTTAATCTTACTCTACTTCTTTGGAATAGTGAAGTGGACTAGGGAGAAGCTGTGTCACCAAGTTAGTGACAGAGCACCAGGCTCACATCAAAGCTGCAGCGAGTACCGTACTCTTGAGGACTACACAAAAATAAGCTGATGCATGGAGTCTTCTTCTACAATATTGAGCACATCAGCTTGTCAAAGAGCATCTGACCTTTTTTTCTCAGGTCTAATGGGCTGAAATCAAAAATTGAAAATCATACATTGTCTGCACCAAGTACTAGGTCTGCCGCCAGGCATCAAGTACTAGGTTTGCCGCCAGGCACCAGAGACCCTTGCTGTTGGCATGTACAGCATATGTGGTCTTAGCCTATGTCCATTGATATAACGCGACCCTGAGAGTGCTCTTCGGCACTCTTTCAGTATTGAAGAGACACGGGTGTGGCTTTATGTTCTATGCAATATTGAATGAGTCAGTGAGACTGATGAAAGCTAATAAGGCTGATGTAATACTCCCCGTCCATTTCAGTAAAATAATATTCGTCGTGGAGTTTTTAGCTCCGGATGAGGCGAATATCGTCCAAAAAGAGAAGAAAAACGAATGAAATATTGAGATTTTGTCTTCGAATAATTGGTATGGGGTATAAATAAGCTGTTACTATTTCTTATGTTGTTGCTGTGAACATTATGTTGGTATAGAACGATTTATTCAAGTGTAGAGGAGCTATTTTAATTTGAATATGAATATTATGAAAAAAAAACAAGCACTCTTTTACTTATAACCAGTCAAACATCCAAAGCATTGTTATAATGGGGGTGTATCTATTAGACTATGAAAGAATTTGCAGTCACTTTATTTTGAAGTTTTTGTTGTGGGGCTAAAGAGTTAGTATCAAGCAATGATAATAATGTAGGACAATATAGTGAGTTGAATTATTGTTTTAAAAACTGAAACTGAAAAATGAAATATTTACTGATAAGGGTGAAAAAAAAATTTTTTGTTAAATATATATTGGAAATGTTTTTTGAGGTTTAGAGTATTGTTGATAATGAAACCCAACTATATCAATGGAGTCACCAAGTATTTTAACATTCACTGTATTCAAGTTGATGAGATTATATTTGTACTTTCAGTTATGTAAGGTAGGACTGAAACTTATAATAAATCCAAAACAAGCACTGTTTCCAAAACCCCAGGACTGCAAGACTCATTATTATTTTCATTATTATTATTATTACCTCGTCGTGCGTTTCATTAACCAAGTTGGCGTCTTCAGGAAATGAAGTAGAAGAGTGTTGCAGTTCTGGTGTTTGGAAACAATGCATGTTTTAGACTTTGTAATTTAGATTCAGAAGCCCTTTTGAAACCAATGAAAACTACTACTGCATACTTATTACAATCTATTTTAACTCTTATTTAGTTAATATTAGTTGTAGAATCGTTTCACAGGAATGTTTGGGTATGAAGCCAGACTGGTATTTCACTGAAAGCTCATTATTTTTGAAGTAATTACAAACCCGATTATGAACTTTTTCTAATGCTGACAAAGTATTTATATGACGAACGTTGTTAACTTCATTAGTTTTAGTAATTTTTGGCACCGTAACAATGGCACTAGTTTTTAGGTATTGTGGAAATTGACCCTTCGATAGTGACATGCTTACAAAATTTAAGATAACATGACCTATCCTTTCGTTATAGTTTTCAGTACTTCAATTTTGAATGACGCCACACGACCTTCTCTCTGAATGACGTCACACGACCTTGTCTCTGAATGTCACACGACCTTGAGCTATATGCACGTCATGTGATAGTGAATGACTCCACACAACCTTGAGCTATGTGCACACCATATGACCTTGAGCACGGAGTTTGACCTTGACGATCTATTCTGCACTGAAACCTCTCAGATTCATCTTGTGTTGAAGTGGAGGGGGTTCTGCTCTTATGAGAAATGTAGTGTGAATGTCTGTCATTTCAAATATCATAATTGTGTGGTATTATATACAAGATGTATACATGCGATGAATGTGGAAACAGTTTCACTACGAATGACAAACTGCGACATCATCAGCGGGATTCCTGCACTCCCATGAATTATGAAAGACCATTAACATTGTAAAGACCGAGGTTAAACTCTCCAACACCTACAGCAATGCATATAGGTTAAAATACAAAACATCGTATTAGTGAATTTTTTGGGAAAAATATAATGGTGGTGTACCAAATTTCATATAAAAATATTCAATATTAATAATTCTGTGGTCGAATCAACATTCACATTTTCGGTGAAATTATTTTCTGTACAAGAAAATCATTTCACTAATTTCAATGATTTTCTGAGGTGTATCGTAGCAAACATCTTCCAGAAGTCGTAAGAAAACTTCTTACACACTACTGACACATACTTGACGTTGGTTGATAAAAGCGCTCGCGCAGCTGTGTTTTGTCATTCTCTTACAGATATTTGAAATTCAAACATCTTATCACAGAAAAATGCTGCTCTTCGCTGACTTGGTGCAGTATATCTCCTCTCTCTTGGGGAGAGAGGAGATATACTGAAAAAACTGCTCTGGATGGGATTAAAGAATGTGATAAAGGTTCACAAAAAATAAGGAAGGCGATAAAGACCGCATCATCACTGGGTGAGAAGCAGTATTTGGAAGCCTGTTATAGCAATATCAAAAGCCTGAGGAGTCAGTTTAAAGTGATACGAAAGAAGTGGGCGGGACATGCATCACGATCTGAGGGTGCTAGAAAACGGGTTCATTGGGGTGATTCCGAGTCAGCTTTTAACTCTAGAATTAGATCTGGTGTTTTTTCCAATCTCAAACATAAGGACCCCTCAGCTTTTATGGATGACTGCAAGGCTCTCTTCAAGCGTCGTATACGCCGACTCGGAATCAATTCTGAAGCCTACTGATGATCCTGAGAAACTTCAACATCATATTCCGACAGCTGTGGGTTACTACTTGAAGTGCTCATACGATGACGCTATATGTATGGAATGGTTCGCTGATGAGATGAGTCAACTAGCTGAAGATATGACTATAGTGTTTTGGTGTCCATACGACATCGATATGACTGTAAAGCAAGAAGTTGACTTTCAAAGAGCTACACACTGCCACATCTGCGAAGAATCCTTCACTCTCGAAGACATGAAAGTTCGCGACCATAACCATCTCATACCATGTGATAACTATCGTGGCCCCGCGCACGAAGGTTGTAATATAAACTACAAAGACAGTCATGTAGTTTCCGTAGTCTTCCACAGTTTGAGTGGCTGTGATGCACAATTTATCATCACAGATATTGAATCTAGAATTAGGGCTACGATTGACCTGCTACCCTCCTTCACGAAACATGTGGATGATACTCCAGTGCAGTTTCGATTCATCGATTCGTTCCACTTTATCAATTCATCTCTGGATGTGTTAACATCATACTTAACAGATTTTCTTAATGGGAAAGTTCAGTTCTCTGAGTTACCTAAATACTTGGTTAAATTACTTACTAAGAAGGGGGTCATGCCTAATGATCATATTAATTCTTCGATAGATTTGATGAAGCTTGCTTGCCCTCTATCGATGCTTTCTACAACAAATTAGAAGATAAGCCCTGCCCCCGCATCAACGAGCCCAGGATGTGTGGAAGAGTT